TTGAGTACCTAAGATAACATTTATCATTTCAGTCATGAAGTTAGTTCTCGAAAGGAGCATCTTACGTCTGTGATGCAGCTTTGCCAGGCCAGGTAGGCGTCTGCGTTCATGCGGTCGTACAGATTGTCTATCGCAGGAGCCAACCATTTCCATAGCTGATCCAATTTCTTGAAGCCAATATACTTAGTACCTTTTGCGACACCCGTGAATAATTCGGCTGCTAGTCGTTGTTCAGCTCTCTGAAGTATCAGACAAGATTGTGAAACAGCGAACAAAGCCTCAAATAGTTTTTCAGCGATCTGAAGGGACAAACGCTTTTTTAGTCCGATGGTGTGAAATCGAACGCTTGTTTGTAGGACAACTGAAACGATCTTTTGAAGCCAGCAGTAACTGCATAAGTGTAACTATGACTTGCCGTCAGGTACGTACAACGTCCATGTCATCTAGGCAAAAAAATCCTGGGAACGCTTACGGCGCGTTTTCGCGGTCTTTCCAAGACAAAACTGTGATCGCCCTTCGTGAAGGGTTTGTGAGGGCTTATTATTCCTCGGAATCATTTCGTGCTCATTCAAAAATAGGGCGGAGGTGGTGTGCTTATCACGCGCACGTTTTGGGGAATCAAATCCTAGGGTCGTGAGTCGCCAGGGCCAACCAAGCCTTCCATCCCTCCGGGGTCGGTTAATTGGTACCAGACTTGTCTGGGAGGATAAAAACACTGACTTGTACATCGGCTGGCCCCCGCAAGTCATTGTATAGGCCACATCGCATTCAAATGGCCATATTGAGTCTGGATGGAAGTAGAATGCATGGCGCATCTCATAAAGATCTGATCACCGCTGAACATTATTTTGCACCTACCGCCTACGTCTATTACTATCTGTAGCTGAAGGACTGGATGACTAACAAACAAAGATAGGTCTAACAAAGATAAGGACGGCTCGGAAAGGTAAGGGGCAGGGTTAGCTGTGCATTATGCAGTTCCTCAACGAGGAAGGTCGTATTCAAGGTTTTTTTAAGAAAGGTCGTATTAGGAGTTGGAGAAGGTCGAAGAGTCAGAAAAGGGAGTTGTATTTATTTTTGGGTGCGATGGGTTGTGTTGGTGGAGGGGGTCGTTTTGGGGGTTTTCTGATAATTTTGGAAGAATTCCGGAATGTAAGCAGGAGTGGTAGAAATTAGAGGATTAGCGCTTTACTAGACAAATGCACCCATCCCTCCCGTTTGATGACCGTTTAAAAAAAAGTGGGCAGGATTGGAGCAAAACGTCCTCTCAGAATCAAATGCTACAGAAGCAGCACGATGGTTGAAGGCGGTGGCCGCGATGGTCGTATTGGAGGACTCTCCTAAAGATGGTGATGGTGGTGAAGGATAATTGGAACAAAGGACGATTGGCCCTGTAAGGGAGTGAGAACCACGAAACGTTACCCGATGTGTATCCCAACTGCGTTCTCACCTTCCTACTTTTCAGCAGCTCTTGAAGGGTTGTGGTGATTCTCTTGTAGATGACATCGCTTGCGGGAAAATTTCGTAGCAGGTACTGTAATGTGATAGGGTAAGAAATTCAGAGTCTATGAAGAAAATCGGAACATTTATGTCTTACTTACTTTTACCATCCAAACGGTGTTGTCGTTCACTTCATTTGAATCATGCTTCTCTACAAGAAGTAGCTCAATCCATTTAATAAGGTTTCATCCTCGAATGCTGTGACTATAGCCTTTTCACAATCACTGAGTGGTGTGCGATTGAGCTGCTGCTTCAAAGCGTAGACGACCACGCTAATGAAACTAAAAGTGTTTTCGTTTTGTTGTTCATCGTAAAAAATATTTTAGGGATCTGCTGATAGTATGTGTTTCACCCTCCTGATCCCCACCAAGTTTAGCTCCGCCCGCTACCGCGCGCATTGATAGAACTGACAATCGATGAAGCTTTAGGTTTCACCGCTAAATTATAGCTGCTTCGTTAAATGTATTACTGTCCGTTGCATAGGCTGCTCATCTTGGCTGTATCTCACTGTTTGATAAGCGCAGTGAAGTGCACAGCTAAAGTGATGATGTAAACAACTACTATGCGTCGAGTATCGAGGTAATTTAGCGGTCGATAATTTTGGTGATCTCAAAAACGAATGCCCACGTACCAGTATCAATCATTCATTCAAACATCCCATTCATCCTCAAGAACTCTAGAAGGTGTAGCGGTCGGAGTTTACAATTACAACGCTGATGAAATGATATTGAAATGAAAGGCATTATCTACAATCTGCTCTCTATTTTCTATTTCAAGTGCTCTCTACGTTCGTACGCATATCGTTCCTATCAGTCCTCTCAGTCGTTACTTTTTGACCCCCACCAAATATGTTCCCGTCCCACCCACTATATCATGCCCCAAAATCAGCTCCTGACGACTGCTGCGAAGCGCACTATGAATTTCGTGAAATTTGTGTTTCGGCGCCTCTTATCTGCTCTTATCAGTCGTTATCACTTGGTGACCCCCACCAAATATGTTCCCGTCCCACCCCCTATATCATATCAAAAAATCAGCTCCTAACGACTGCTGCGACGCGTGCTATGAATTTCGTGACACACGCACACACACACAGACAGACAGACAGACTAGCGCTTTATATATAGTAGGGAGGGATATACCGTTACAAGAAAGTTTTTCATGTTTCATATACAGTATTTGCAATGACAACAGATACGACCACTGGGTCGACACTTGAAGGGCTGATTGCTGGCAAGAAGAAATAGGGCAGAGTTTCATGAGTCCATCATTGAAAACAGTTGTGCCTTTCTGAGAGGCAAGCGGTCCGCTTAGTCATGGTGGCAGGGGCTAGGGTGTGGATTGCGTAGCATTTGTTCTTTTTCGTTGACTTGAGAAACTAGCGCGTTCAGGTCTGCTGTCTTCATCACAGCGCAGGCACGAAAAACGTCCAGTTCTCCCTCCTAGGTCAAGTCACCGCAGCTGCGCGATGATAGAAGCCTAAAACTAGGCCTAGCTTAGTAACCGGCCGCTCTTTCCATCCGAAAATTTCCCATCTTCCTTACAGGAGGTTCGACACGATCACCGCATCCCCAGGGTCGGTCCTATCGTTGTTACTTTTTGAAAAATTTTTACGACCCCCCTCCCCAAGGTGGACTTGATACGACCCCCTTTTCGACACCTCGACCACCATCATTCCTCTCTATAGTATTTAATTCTGATACCACTCAACCCACCAAACTCCGCCCACTTTTCCTCCAAAAATGCCGTCGAGCGGGGGGTATATACGCGCGCTGAAACGGCGAAATTTTCTCCCGTGCGCTCCCCAATTCCCCACCTTACGAATTTCCGTCCACTCACCGGTCCAACTTCCAAAAATACCACCTTCCTCTCAACCATTTGATCTTCTCCAACCCTAAATGCGTGCACCGTTGAGACTGCGCAACGCACGGCTAGCCGTGTTTCGGCTTAGGCTTGAGCTTATGCTTACACATTGGCTCATTTTAAGCTTAGCGTTACGTTTGAGCTTAGGCGTAGGCTTGTTACGAGCAAATCGATGTGTCCCAATTCTAAGTGGATCAACCTGACCTGAGAAGTAGAACTGGTGTGCAACCTAATAGCAGCGACCTTCATACTGCTGCGGTTCGCTTCCTCGTAATGATCAGGGGAATATTCTTTTATGTAGGAACCTGGCAAATTTTCCCTCCGAAGGTGGGAACTTCGAAAGGAACATCAGCCAGGTATTGTGAAAGATTGCTTACGTAGGCCATTTATAGCTTCCATGTGGCTTCGAGAAGAAAACAGTTTTATTCCATTTTTCTTCAGTGGTAGGCAAATTCTGCGAGTCGTAAACTAGAGGCAAGTTGTCCATACGAAGTCCGCATTTCAGAAAACTTGACTCGGCCTTCAAAAGGTTGCTTTTTGACTGAGGAGTTATACATAAGACAATGTGCAGCTCACCTTTTTTGGACAACACCAATTCATTCGGATGGTTTTTGGCTTGTTCTTTTTCAACCAAAAGGAAAGTTCATCAGAGCTTCTTTCCCGTAGATACTCTTCTTCATCGACAAACTTTCCGATTAGGATCTAAAGGGTGGTTGTAAAGCAGTTGTGGTAACAAGTTTCGGGATTGTTTTGGCGCTTCAAAAAGCAAGGCCCGCGCACCTCGAATATGTTAGACCAAAATAGAACTG